ACCACAGTGAAACATAAAGAAAAGATCCTAAAATGTGCAAGAGAGAAACGTCAGATTACTCTCAGAGGATCTCCAATCAGACTCACAGCTGACTTCTCATCAGAAACTCTACAAGCCAGGAGGGAATGGCGAGATATAGCCCAGGTACTAAGAGAGAAAAACTGCCAGCCCAGAATATTATATCCTGCAAAGCTATCATTTGTGAATGAAGGTGAAATAAAGACTTTTCATAGCAAACAGAAATTGAAAGAATTTGTTGCCACTCGTCCAGCCCTGCAAAAGATGCTTAAAGATGTGTTACACACAGAAACAAAGAAACACGGTCATCAATATGAAAGAAGGTAAAGGAAGGAAACCAAGGAAGGAAAGCTCACAGCAAAAGATCACAGGGAATTCAAAGCGTATATTAGAACTTATCTTTGGCAAATGGCAGGGCAAAGTTACCACTTATCATTAGTCACATTGAACGTGAATGGCCTGAACTGTCCAGTTAAAAGACACCGATTGGCTGATTGGGTTAAGGAACAAAACCCATCTATTTGCTGCTTACAAGAAACGCATCTTTCCAACAAAGATCCATACAGACTGAAAGTGAAAGGCTGGAAAAAGATATACCATGCCAACAGAAATGAAAAAAGAGCAGGCGTAGCCATCTTAATATCAGACAAAATAAACTTTACCACAAAAACCGTTAAGAGAGACAAAGAGGGACACTACATAATGATTAAGGGATCAATTCAACAGGAAGATATAACAATTATCAATGTATATGCACCCAACTACAGGGCACCGGTTTATCTAAAAGATTTGTTAACGGACTTAAAGGGAGACTTAGACCCCAATACAATAGTACTGGGGGACTTCAATACTCCACTCTCAGAAATAGACAGATCAATAGGACAGAAGATCAACAAGGATACAGTAGATTTAAACGACACTATAGCCCAAATGGACCTAACAGATATATACAGAACTTTCAATCCTACAGCTAAAGATTTTACATGCTCATGGATTGGAAGAATCAATATCACCAAAATGTCCATTCTCCCAAAAGCAATTTATAAATTCAATGCAATACCAATCAAGATACCGAAGACCTTCTTCTCAGATCTGAAAAAATTGGTGCTGAAATTTATATGGAGGCACAAGAGACCTCGAATAGCTAAAGCAATCTTGTACAACAAAAACAAAGCTGGAGGCATCACAATACCAGACTTCAGGACATACTACAGGGCAGTTGTAATCAAAACAGCATTGTACTGGTACAGAAACAGATGGATAGACCAATGGAACAGAATAGAAACACCAGAAATCAATCCAAACATCTACAGCCAACTTATATTTGATCAAGGATCTAAAACTAATTCCTGGAGCAAGGACAGTCTATTCAATAAATGGTGCTGGGAAAACTGGATTTCCACGTGCAGAAGCATGAAGCAAGAACCCTACCTTACACCTTACACAAAAATTCACTCAACGTGGATTAAAGACCTAAATCTACGTCCTGACACCATTAAGTTATTAGAGAACATTGGAGAAACCCTTCAAGATATTGGCACAGGCAAAGAGTTTCTGGAAAAGACCCGGGAGGCACAGGCAGTCAAAGCCAAAATCAACTATTGGGATTGGATCAAATTGAGAAGTTTCGGTACTGCAAAAGAAACAGTCAGGAGAGTGAAGAGACAACCGACAGAATGGGAAAAAATATTTGCAAACTATGCAACAGATAAAGGGTTAATAACCAGAATCTACAAAGAGATCAAGAAACTCCACAAAAACAAAACTAACAACCCAATTAAGAGATGGGCCAAGGACCTCAATAGACATTTTTCAAAAGAGGAAATCCAAATGGCCAACAGGCACATGAAAAAATGTTCAAGGTCATTAGCAATCAGGGAAATGCAAATCAAAACCACAATGAGGTTTCACCTCACCCCAGTTAGAATGGCTCACATGCAGAAATCTACCAACAACACATGCTGGCGAGGATGTGGGGAACAAGGGACACTAACCCACTGTTGGTGGGAATGCAAACTGGTTAAGCCACTATGGAAGTCAGTCTGGAGATTCCTCAGAAACCTGAAGATAACCCTACCGTTCGACCCAGCCATCCCACTCCTTGGAATCTACCCAAAGGAATTTAAATTGGCAAACAAAAAAGTGGTCTGCACCCTAATGTTTATTGCAGCACAATTCACAATAGCCAAGATCTGGAACCGACCTAAATGCCCATCAACGGTAGACTGGATAAAGAAATTATGGGATATGTACTCTTTAGAATACTATACCGCAGTAAGAAACAACGAAATCCAGTCATTTGCAACAAAATGGAGGAATCTGGAACACATCATGCTGAGTGAAATAAGCCAGTCCCAAAGGGACAAATACCATATGTTCTCCCTGATCGGTGACAACTGACTGAACACCAAAAAGGAAACCTCCTGAAGTGAAACGGACACTATGGGAAATGGTGACTTGATCAGCATAGCCCTGACTGTTAATGAACAACTTAATACATTATCCCTCTTAGTAGTTTTTTTGTCTGTTCTACTTAATATGACTGGTTTAATTCTGTAATTAATACACAGTTATTCTTAAGTGTTAAAAATTAACTGAAATGTGATCCCTGTTAAACATAAGAGTGGGAATAAGAGAGGGAAGAGATGTATAATTTGGGACATGCTCAAGCTGACTTGCCCCAAATGGTAGAGTTAAAAACATACCAGGGGATTCCAATTCAATCCCATCAAGGTGGCATGTACCAATGCCATCTCACTGATCCAAGTGATCAATTTCAGTTCACAATTGATCATAATGAAAGGACTAAGAGTCAAAGGGAGCACATAAACAAGTCTAGTATCTGCTAACACTAACCGATGGAATAAATAAAGGGGAGAGTGATCCAACATGGGAAGTGAGATACTCAGCAGACTCATAGAATGGCAGATGTCCTAACAGCACTCTGGCCTCAGAATCAGCCCTAAAGGCACTCGGATCTGGCTGAAAAGCCCATGAGAGTATTTCAGGCATGGAAAGCCAAGACACTCTGGCAAAAGATCTCTGCGAGTGAGATCCCAGTGGAAAGAACAGGTCTTCAAAGAAGGAGGTACCTTTCTCTGAAGGGAGGAGAGAACCTCCACTTTGACTATGACCTTGTCTAAACAAGGTAAGAATCGGAGAACTCAGAGGGCTTCCATAGCCTTGGAAACTCATGACCGGAGCATAGGGAGACTACTGATGCCATAAACAGGAGTGTCAATTTGTAAAGTCAACAACAGGAGTCACTGTGCACTTACTCCTCATGTAGGATCTCTGTCCTTAATGTGCTGTGTATTGAGATTTAATGCTATAACGAGTACTCAAACAATATAGTTCACTTTGTGTTTTCATGGGTTGCAAACTGTTGAAATCTCTACTTAATGTATACTAAACTGATCCTCTGTAAAAAAAAAAAAAGAAAGAAAGAAAGAAAGAAATTATCAACTCCCAACTTGACTCTCACTGGGATTAAACATGACAATAGGTCTGATCTGATTTCATCATCACTTAAAAAAAATCATCTATTATTTTTCACTTTATGTTTCTGTGTGAGAGCAAACTGTTGAAATCCTTACTTAATGTATACTAAGCTGATCTTCTGTATATTAAGATAATCAAAAATGAATCTTGATGTGAATGGAAGGGGAGAGGGAGTGGGAAAGGGGAGGGTAGTGGGTGGGAGGGACGGTATGTGGGGGAAGCCATTGTAATCCATAAATCATACTTTGGAAATTTATATTCATTAAATAAAAGTTAAAAAAAATAAAATAATACGTTGGAAATTTATGGGTTATAATCAAATGACTGAACATAAGGATCTTAGGAGTTCCTGAAGGTGTGGAGAGAATGGTTTAGAAGGCATATTTAGTGGAATAATTACATTAAAAAAATTTCCAAATTTTTAGAAATAAAGGGATGTCCTAGTACAAGAAATATATAGAACTCCTAATAGACTTGGCCAGAAAGATCTTTACCATGATGAATTGCAGTTAAACTTTCAACAATAAAAAAATAAATAAAACATTGTAAAATGTACATGAAAGAAATGCCAGATTACTTTCAGTGAATTTCCAACTTGACTCACAGGTGACTTCTCTTGAGAATCTCTTTGGGCTAGGAGAGAATGTAGAGATATAATCCAAATCTTAAGAAAAATAAATAAAAAACTGTTGATCCAGAATACTACACCCTGCAAAGATTTCATTTATGAATGAATGCGAAAAGACTTTCCATAACAAAAAGAAAGTGAAAGAATTTGTCACAAATTCATTATTAGAAAAAATGTTCTGGTATGTTATGAGCTGTATTTTATAGCAAACGGCTTTCTCACAGTAATTACATTCATGAGTTTGCTCTCCTGTGTGAATTCTGATGCATTGTAAGGTTTGATTTCTGGCCAAAGGGTTTTCTACAGTCATTACATTCATAATGTTTCTTCTCTGTGTGAATTCTCTGATGATTCCTGAGATCTGACATATAGCCAAAGGCTTTCCCACAGTCATTACATTTATGGAGTTTCTCCCCTGTGTGAATTTTCTGATGTCTTATAAGGTGTGACTTCCAGCCAAAGGCTTTTCCACAGTGATTACATTCATGAAATTTCTCCCCATTGTGAATTCTCTGATGCCTTATGAGTTCTGACTTATTGCAAAAGGCTTTTCCACAGTCATTACATTCATAAAGTTTCTCTCCTATGTGAATTTTCTTATGTTTTTTGAGGCTTGACTCACGGCCAAAGGCTTTCCCACACTCATTACATTCATAAGGTTTCTCCCCTGTGTGAATTCTCCAATGGATTGTGAGGTGTGACTTATCACCAAAGGTTTCTCCACAGTCATTGCATCTACACCTACATGGACTCAAATTCTATACCTGCCCATTATTAAACTTTCTAAAGTGTTTACTTGTTAGTCAAATAGCAAGAAAATTTTGCCATTAGGCATTTGATGGGTGTCACTCACCCAAGGAAAACAGGCTTCTGTAGGTCTCCAGTATCACATGCCTGTACAGGATTTTCTGAGCTTTGTTCATCTTCTGCCATTCCTCCCAGGTAAAGTACACAGCTAGATCTTCAAATGCTATCATCACCTGCAATATTATACTTCTGGTCAACATATCAACTCTGTCACAAAACAAACACTAACAGTTGTATATCTTGTATATGTGTATGAAGGAAAAAGGAAGGATATGGTATCATTTTAGACTTGTTGAACATTTGGAGAGTGCACAGAAGCATTCAATAAGGAGTCAAATTTATTGTCTAAAGGCCATGAAAAATGCCCACACTGGAGGGAAACAGGAGTTTCAGATCCATCAGTGAAGCTATGATGGGAATGACCAGAGAAGAATTTCCAGGAAAGCACCATGCACAGTCAGTTCAAATATGACAGAGAAAAAATGTTTTAAAAAAGAGGGCAGGCATTTAGCTTAGTGTTTATGATGCCAGCTAAGATACTCTACATCTACCTCAGCATAGCTAGGTTAGATTTCCTGTGCCAGCTTCAGATTCCAGCTCGAAATGAATTGATAGAGAAGCAGTGGTGATGCCAACAATGAGGGAGACATGGACTCCATTCCTCATTCCTGGCTTCAATCCCAATCCACCTCTGCTTGGCATGGCTATTTAGGGAGTGAATAAGTGCATTGGAGCTCTCTGTCTCACTCCAGGTCTTTGTCTATCAAGCTCATAAATACTTTTTAAGTAAGAGAAGATTCAAGTAAGACAAACAATAGAAAATAGCTTTTGACTTTCTCTATTATTCTGATAAAATATTTGAAGAACTGGAATAACATTACACCAAATTAAAGTGAAAACAATGGAATTATTTGCCCAAAAACAGAACTTGGAACAGTCTGCAATAGAATCTGCATTTGCGACTAACTGAGAGAAATGCATAAAGATTGATTTAAGAACTTGCAGTAGGCACCATCACTGTGGTGCAGTCAGGTAAGCCTCTACCTGCAATGCTGGTATCCCATGTAAACAGACTATTTTAGTACTGGAAGCTCCACTTTACATCCAGCTCCTTGCTAATGTGCCTGAAAGAGCAATGAATGATGGCCTGTGTTTTGGGGTCACTTCCATCAAAGTGGGAGACCTGGATGGGGTTCCAAGCTCCTGATTTGACTTGTCCAAGCCATAGCCATTGTGGACATTTGGAAAATGAACCTGTAGATGGAAGGTATCTCTTTTTCTCTCCCCATCACTTTCAATCGCTGTAGCTCTGCCTTTCAAAAAAGATAAATCTTTAAAAATAAAAAGATCCTAATATAGATTCTTTTCCCCACATTTTCCTGATCCTACCACTAAATCAAGTTCAGCTCCTCAAAACTCTTAAGTACTGCATTAATTCAACAATTAAAGAATAAAGTTAACTGATTTGTGTTTTAGCATTAGTTAATTCTTTCACTTTGAGGATGTTTATTTCTTGGGTGGCACTAAAACCCTGCCCACTACAACATTTATATGACAGTAAAGACTTTTTCACACATTATGACCCACAAAATTTAGCATATTGTGCTCTAAGCTTCAACTCAAAACATGTAAGAAATACATATTTTTCTATGGCAGCAGGAAGACCAGAAACCAAATTGCCTGATCTTAGTTGACTGTTTCACAATCACATCAAATTCATCATTCATCTTGTTTGTGTATTTTTCCTGAAAATAAACTTTATGTTTCTTGTTCTATTTTAATTTATGAACCATTCAAAATCTAAAATGACAACTAAAAACAAGCCAAGGAATAATTCAGAAAACAATTTACAGGTGATGTATTAATTTTATCTACTCATGGAAATATGTGGAGGTGCCTAGAATCATACCTGGAAGAGAAATTCAATGGAAGGAGTTAACATAAAACTTATCTGGTATCATTTGACATTGAACTGTGGAAAAAATGTAGAATGAATAAAGAATAATAACTACATTAACTGAGAAAACATCAGCTTCACTGTGGAGGAATAAACCTTTAAACATGAGAATATATAGGAATATATATATGAATATGTATATATATGAAAGTATACACACCTCTATCAAGTGGCAGCAATTAAACAGAAGTAATGGTTGGTTTAATGAAAGAATTGTCTACAGATTTTCTAAAATAATAATGTAATAATAAAATTTAAGAGTGATCATTCAAATAATCACTTTATCAAAGAGATAAAAGTTGTGTTGTCACTAATTTTTACATTAAAAAAAAGTTAGAGTTTATGTTTTTTAAAATTTTTTTAAAGATTTAGTTATTTACTTGAGAGAGATACACAGAGAGAGATGGAGAGGCAGGGAGAGAGATCCTCCATCCGCTGGTTCACTCTCCAATTGGCTGCAAGGGCCGGAGCTGCACTGATCCAAAGCCAGGAACTTCTTCCAGGTCTCCCACGTGGGTGCAGGGGCCCAAGGACTTGGGCCACCCTCTAGTGCTTTCCCAGGCCACAGCAGAGAGCTGGATTGGAAGTGGAGCAGCCGAATATCCAACCGGCTCCCATATGGGATGCCAGCACTGTAGGTAGTGGCCTTAGCCACAATGTCACAGCACAGGCCACTCTATTAATGTTAAAGTACTATTTGGATTCCATATTTGTGTGTACATTAGAACACTTCTTATTTACATAGATCAGAAATTCTATAGAAAACATGTAAATTACAGTTTCACATTTTTTGGCCAAAATTGAATTGGAATAAATATACATAATATTTGATGTAGTACACTTTTCCAGAAATGATTCAAATAACATGATTCCCTGTATCCATACCTTCACATGACCCTGGTTTTCACCATTTCATCTGCTTTATACCATATCACCAAATGCAATAGAAACAGATAGTTTGTAAAGTATTTGCCTTCTCAGATTTTCTTTATTTGACACTGTTATCTTGTAGAAAACTCTGGCCTGCTTGTTGAAAGGATAGGATCTAACCAAGATTTGCCACAAACCACCAGACATCTAAGTGAAGCTATATCTAAGGCAGCAGCCTCAATCAGCTCTTCAGGTGACTAAACCCTCATTTCTGATCCCAGACTGATCACAGGAACTGCCCAGTTAAGCCCATCCCAAAACACTGATTCAAAGTTAGAAGTCAAATGGCTTTTAGTTAAGCCATTCTGTTTTCTGATTTTTTTCCTGCATCAAATGCTGATACATACTGGTGAGTAAGTGAAAAGTTGAAAAATACAATTAATACAACTTCCCAATCTCCTGTAGAAGTTTCCAGAAATATAGGGCTGACACTGTCACCTAGCAAGTAAAGTTGCCACCTGCAATGCAAGCAGCCCCATTTAGACATTTGTTTGTATTCTGGGTGCTCTGCTTTTGATCCAGCTCTCTGCGAATGGCATGAGAAAAGCAGTAGAAGATGGCCCAAGTACTTGCATAAATGTGAGAGACCCAGATGCACATTCTATATCTTGGCCTCAGTCTGCCATAGGCTTGCCCACTGCAGCCCTCTGGAGAGTGAATTCGCAGATGAAATACATCTGTCTCTCCTTCCTATATATAACACATTCAAATTTAAAAAAAAAAGAAAAGAAAAAAGCTCCTACAAGCATATGTGCCTATCAATTGGATCTTAGCAAAGCTGCTTACACTAAAAAAATCTTGGGAATCACACAAATGAATTCTCTGGAGATCATCAGGTCATATTTCACATTTCTAGTTATGTGTGGTCATACTATTCTTTTTGTTTATATTTTAAGAAACCTAAAACATGAAGTCTGATTTAGTGTAAATTTACTATTCAGAAAATAGCTAAAAAGCTCACAATCATTTTCTATTGCTGCATATATACTCTATATTTTTCAAGATTTTCAAGAAGAAATTACTGATAGCAAGTGGGAAAATGTTTATGATATGCTTTTTGAAGTCACACAATTCATGCATAGCATAAAGATCAAAAGGAAAAACATGGTCAGGGCAGTCTTCTAAAGCAATACTTATTTGAAACTGGTGACATTTTCTGAAATTGATCTATAAAATAAATGTGTTATTTAATTAAGTGTGGCAAAATAGAAAACACTAGCCAAAAGTTAGGGTGCCAAGAATCATGTGACACTACTCAAACCACTTATCTCCTGAAATACTGAAATACAATTTGTTTCATCTTTTTTACCTGCAGAAACCCTGGTAAACATTCCTTGAACTAACAGAAAGAACTATTAGGATACAAGGAGCAGCAGCCTAGCCCAAATTGACAGATTAGGTCTCACAGACTACCATTTCCAAAAATCACAATAGTGGAATGAAGTAATGGGCATGTGGTAGGAAGCAATATAAATAGTGACTCTCAGACATGAGAGGTTTTGCACCTCCCCAGAACACACCTTCAAGATCACTTTAAAAAGTAACATTGGTAGGCCCTTGCATTTCTAGTCCATTCCCAACTTTCTTTGGAATGCTAGTCCAGAACTTCCAATATTACCTAGTTTTGATAACAAGGATGAAGTAAGGTAATATCAACTAAAGCTTGTTCACTCTACTCAGTATGATCAATAACTGGACTAAGCAAAACTAGGGTCTTCGTATTTCAGTGACTCTTCGTCTCTGTTCTGAAGCCTTAAGGCATTGTTTCAGAGAGCGTTAAGCGGTATTCTGTCAGAAATGATTCCTATATATGGAACTCACTTCTTCAAATATCATAAAAACTACTCACTTCCAAAGGAAATGGAACTGTGACCCAGTGCCAAAACTTCCATGTTCCTGGAAACTAGGTTTTGTATAAACTTCTGTATCCTCAAATGAGTAGTGCTGGACAGGCTACACAGTGCAGGAAACCAGAAATTCAATTCGAAGAAGATATACAATGAAACCCCACAAATGCAATATTGTGTAAGCCTGCACACATCTCACAATGATTTTTCAGGGAATATGAGGATATTTCACTAATACTGCTAATATACTCTTCTTACAGATTGGTAGGGACAGAGGTGCAACCCACATTCACCCCATACACCTTTCAGCTTAAATGGCTCAAACACCCAGCTCCACCTCATGGTCATCTAGACTGACTACAGACTGTCTACGGAACTTTTAGAACCACATCCTGTGTGCCTGGAGACAGGGGAGATTGAACAATATGCTCCAGAATGA